CCCTCATGCGCTTGAGGTAAAGCATAAGGGATCCTGGCACGAATCCTCCTAGACCCATGCTCCAACTTTCTGGGAAGCTTTGGATTTTAAGTAAACCCTAAACCCTAAACCCTAAACTCTATAGACCCTAAAGCCTAACCTAAACTCTATAGACCCTAAACACCAAACCCTAGACCCTATACCCTATAGACCCTAAACCCTAAACCCTTGGGAAGCCTGAATAATGGCCAACACTCGTCCGGAAGCTTCCTTCACCTAAGCATATTACGACATACCCCCAAACCCTGTTCAGGGTTTAGGGTTTAGGGTTGAAGGTTTTGGGTATAGGGTTTAGGGGTTAGGGTTTAAGGTTTAGGGTTTAAGGTTTAGGGTTTACGGTTCAAGGTTTAGGGTTTAGGGTTCAGGGTTTAGGGTTTAAGGTTTAGGGTTTTGGGCCCCTGTGTTATTTGCACCTGTTCCTTCTCACTCTGAGGTCTGATGCCTGGGGCAGCCCGATCAAGGTGGCAAAGGGGGAGTCCATGAAATGAGGGTTTCCGAAATTAGGGGACCCTAATATAGTACCCTAAATAATAGGATCCCTATTATAAGGACCCCCCAAATAAGGTAGCCCTAATTTTCTGAAACTCCCAAATCTGTATTCGCAGGATGCCTCTTGACCCCAAACCCGAGACCCACACCGGGTGCCCCAGAGACTCCAAAACCCCTTAAATTAAGGAATATACCTTAACTCTTATTCGAGTTCCTACTATAATTTAAGGTATGTTCCTTAATTAAGGGGTTTTGGAGTCTCTGAGGCCTTAGGCCTGGGTCTAGGGCTTAGGCCCTAAGCCCTAAACCCTAAACCCTAGGTTTGGTGGCCTGGGTAAGCACGAATACGGCGAGAATTTGGGTTCCTGGACATCTAGAGAAATGGGATAGATCGTTGTTTTCCCCAAAGCCCTATTCATTATTAGCACCCCATCAAAAACCCTCACAGTAACTCTTATTGCAGACCCTTGTTTATTGAACCCTTAAAAGGAATCCTGTCTTCATCAGTCTAGAAGCCTTAGCCTAAATAATAACCTGATTAGCGCTCCTTATTGTATTTATTGAATAAGGGAACCCCAAACCACATTACTCAGGCCCCCTACATTATGAAACCCTAAAGCCTAAACCCTAAACCCCCAAACCCCTAAACCCTAAACCCTAAACCCCTAAACCCTAAACCCTAAACCCTAAACCCTAAACCCTAAACCCAAGCGACTGTCCGGAAGCAGGTCACACTGTCCAAGCCGCCCGAGAGGAAAGGGCTGGAGCCCTGGGCCGTTTTTCGGATCTAGGCTGTAAGCTAGAGACCTTACCCAGAGGGTCCACATATACTACCATTATGGAATTATGTCCCAAAAGACCATTCTTATTATGGTTTTGGGGACCTAATTCCATAATAGTAGTATATGTGGACCCTTAGGGTTAAAAATTAGAATAGGGTTTTGGGATGTAGTATAGTATATAATTATCATAAGGAGCCCTAAGGAAAAATAATATAGGTAATTATTTAGAAACCCTTTATTCGGGGTTTAGGGGTTCAGGGCTCGGGGATTAGCGGCTTGAGGTCCTTGGGGCTTTAGGGTATAGGGCTTCTGGTTTAGGGTCGACTTCAAGATCTATGTGGCAGTTTTTCCAGGCTTGCGAAAACCCTAAACCCAAAGCCCTACAGCGCACCCCAGAAAGTTGAAACATGGGTTTAGGAGGATTAGTGCTAGGATCCCTTATGTCTTACCTTAAGGGTACCAGGAGAAGGATGTTCCAACTTTCTGGCTTCTACGGTAAACCGCGTTATCTTTCCCTAAAGGTCCATGTGCCCATATAGTATATGCATTGACCCTAACGTACCTAAATAGGAACTAGATTAAGGCCAATGTATATACTATATGAGTACATGGACCCTTAGGGTAAGAGATCGCAAGAGG